GTTAGTTTCTCTTCTCAAAAAAATTAAGGATATGGACTTCTTTTTACTTCTTTTGTCAGGATACATCCTGAATGGAGGTTGTCGGTAAGAGCCAGAAATCGAAGATATTATGTTTAATAAGCAATAATACTATTTTTTATGGGCACTTGTCATTATCATCTTGATTTCACAAGTGAGGAAACCAAGGTCAACAGATGTGAGTCACTTGGCCAGGGGGGTGGAGTAAGGGCTCAGGTCTGTCTGAAGCCCAGCCTTTCTCATGACCAGGCCCTTCAAGGAAGGCCTCAGAACAGTACATGAGCTTCACTGGGGAAGCCCAGGCCCAAGCTATCCCTAGACGCACAGAATCAGGAACTCCAGAGCTGTGGGCCTATGATCTATGTTCTAGAAAGTTCTGGATGGTTCTGATGCAGGCTAGAGTTAGGGGTCTAGCAGGAGGCGCAAAGGAGAAAAGCCTCTTAACTTCAGCACCACCAGAGGAACTGGTCCTCTTGAAGATCTCTACCTGCCAACCTGTCTAGACAGGAGCCATTTGTGAATAAAGGCACAGGCTGGACACTGGGACCAGATCCTGGGAGGATGGGCTCCAGGTTGAGGACGAGTAGGCAGGGTTATATTTCCAGCTCCACTATCACCAACGCTGTGATACAGGACGCGTCCTTTAGACTTGCTGGGCCCCCATTTCCTCTAGGAGAAAATGGAAGGGAAATGGGCCCCCATTTCCTTTAGCTCTAGGAAGCTACTACTTACCTCATTTGTGGGTTTTTTTTTCCTGCTCTCAGACTCCTAGTCTCTAAGGCAGTCTCCCAAAGACCAGGGGGGGAAAAAAAAAAAAAAACAGCTGTTATATGGAAAGAGAAGGTGACTCAGAAGACTTAAAGGATTGGGGAAGGTTTATTATTGAAGGAAGAGGGAACTCAAGCTAGGGTGGGTCCAGACCAAAAGAGAGTGAGGGAGGGCAGGCAGTGCATTCTAGATGTGCCCACTGGAGATCAGGACCTGGGGGGTGGGGAGTACCTGTGATGTGAGCTCAGCTTAGCAGACAAAGGCAGGGTACCAGCGCCATAGAGACAAGTAAGCAGAACTCAAAAAAGAAAGCACCGTCTTTGCCAGAAAGTGCTTTACTCAATGCAGCAAGACTTGTTTTTCCCTTAACCAGCCTGGTGACTCTCCTCCAAGAGCAGTTCTGCCCCTCGGGAGACAGCTGGCCATGTCCGGAGGTGTTTTTCATTTTCAGAGTGGTGAGGATGGTGAGGGCGAGGTAGGGGGTTGGAGAAGCTACTGCTGGGGTGCTGCTAAACATCCTGCAGTGCACAGGACCCACACTCACCAATAAGTCAACTCTCACTGGTGCCTAGGCTGAAAACCTTGACCTAGCAAATGAGCCCCCACCGAATATCTAATTGTTTTTAAAGCCACAAATAGTGGCTGCTGTGTCCCATGCACCAATTTGCAGGACTTTTTTTCTATTCTTTTTTTCCTTCTCTTTTAAATAGACTTCTTTTTTTTTTTCTAGAGAAGTTTAGGTTCACAGCAAGATTGAGTGAGGGTACAGAGATTTCCTAGGGGCTTCCAGTCTCCACATGCTCACCGCCTCCCACACTGTGCTTACTTAGATTGGCTTCTTATTTTTTATTTTACCTGTAAGAAGCTGAGGCTTCCAGATGCTCAGGTACTTCTCTAGCAAGGTGTGGCCTCCCCATTTAGACCTGAGTCTGCAGCTTTGGAAAGCCAAAGCCCTTGGGCATTGCCTGGTTCATCTCCTAGGCCCACCCCATTCCCTGTTGAGTTAATGTGTCTGCTCTGCTGTAAGCATGTGGGGGTGGAAGGGGTGGGTCGTGCTGGCTTCGGAGAACCCCAGGGCTTCAGATTCTCATTCACTTCAGATGCTCACTATTAGTTTATAGGATAGACTGAGAAGAATCTAAGGCATCGGAAAGAAAAAAGCTTCAAAGAGACAACTGTACAGTGATAACGGTCTATATGAAATTCATGTTCTCTGGGCCTTTAAATGCCTTTGTGGCCTTTCCCCATTCTTTCCAGCGGGGTCCTGAGTATCAGCTGATAGGAGAGGTGAACCATGAAAAACGCTGGGTTCCAGTCAAAGTAATTCCATTAGGGGCAGGGATGACGGCTGAAACACGAGCAAGGGAAATCACTTGCAGCAAACCCACAGCTGGGCCCCCATGACATCACTCACCCAAATCAAAGGAAATGAGCTAATCAGATATGCATAAAAGCCCTTTTTGTTTGCTTGCTTAGAAAGTTACAATTTGCTTTCAAGCTGGGGGTGGAAAAAAAAAAGTGTCTCTTTGAAATATTTTGGCCCTGATATTTTGCTTCTTCAAATTGTTTTCAGTTATTGGAGTACATATGAAAATAAAGTGCTTGAAAGGTTCTCAGTTCATTGCATATTAGAAGGAATTATTACAGGAGGGTTATTGTCGCAGGTTCCTGTTGTGAGTGTGATGACCCGTAGCCCCACACCCTCATCCTCAATGGAAAGAAGAAGTGGGCCAAAGCTACCCATTGGTCTTTACTCTGCACATTCCCCTGCATCTTGACCTTCCTTTTCTGTTTCATAGCAAGCTCCTCCAGTTTTGATTGAGTAAGTGCGTATTAAATTAAGGTTTGAGAGCTGTGGGCAAAAGTTGAATCAAATAGTATTAAGTTAAAAAAAAATAGCCAAAAGCAGGGAATTCAGAGTCACCCAGTTGTTTAGGGCAAAGCAAGCATTCCCCAAGGATGAGGCAGCAGACAGTGCCAGACAGGCCTTGGGTTTGTGTGCCACAAAAGCACACAGGAAACTGAATTTTTAGATTTGTTTTATAAACATTTAAGATTCTCCTGGCCTCTTACCATGGAGTTGAACTAGGCAAAAACAGCAGGATTTGGTGTTGCACTCAGAAACCCAGCTTAATGCTCACTGAGGAATTATCTGGAGATTGTCAAAGAGGAGGGCTGTCAGGGCTGACCTTAGGCAGAGATAAGAAGTGGCGAGAAGGGTCAGCATTTCAAGTCACAGAGTAGATGTGGCCTGGTGAGGGAGGTTCAGGAAGCTGTGGCCAGTTCATTGTGTACCATTGAAATCATCCAGAAACCAGCACCAGCCAGGTTCCAGAAGCCCCAGCACCAATCATTTTGTTATCATTAACATGCTAAGAACATCTGTCCTTGGAACAAAGTTTTCCGTGAACAATACAGCGTGATGGACTCTGAGAACAAGGTTGTACAGCAGATCTCTCAACTGCATGCATCTTGTATGACTCGAGTTTTATACCTAGTGAATGCAACTCCCCCTGTCCCTCTCTTCCCAGCCCTGGGGCAACCACCATGTGACTCTCTGATGCCTCAATAAATGGACTCATGCAGAATTTATCCTTCTGCGACTGTGTGACTTCAATATCATTTTCGCCAAAATTCATGTTGAAACACTGTGGTGGGATTAGGAGGAAGGGCTAGTTTGGGAGTAACTAAATCATAGGGGCTTTGTTCTTCTGAGGGGACCAGTGCCTTATCAAAAGGCAGGACAGAACAAACTTGGGCCTCATCTACTCTGCTACCTTCTGCCTGTGATGTCGTAGCATTCAACATGCTACCAGAAGCAGAGAGCAGCCCTCGCCAGGCACCAAGCTGCTGGCATCTTGTTCTTGAATCTTCAAGCCTCTGGATCTGTGAGAAATAGATTTCTACTCTTTATAAATTACTCTGTCCCGAGTATTTTGTTACAGCAGCGTATATGAACTAAGTAGGTTATTTCATCTCAGGGTAACCATTTTTAACAGGACCCAAGTAGACACCCTAAAGTCCCAGATCCCAAGAGGTAGAAGTGGTGGGCCTCACAGGCTGAGGGGCTGGGAAGGGGTTGACCCAAATATGTAGAGGCCCTCCATGCCTTCCCTTCCCTGAGCCTCTGTTTAAACCGCTTCTAGGGAAGGGGATTTTATGGTGGCCATATCACAAAATATCCTTATAGCTTTCCTCTCTGTTAAGAATGTTTTCTTTATTTTTCTATGGAAAGAAATAAAACAAATTTTTTTCATTAAACACATCTGCAAAAGTGCTCTAAATTGTTCTAAAAATGTCTTTCTCTAAAGTGATATATATAATCTAAAGATATATATGTATATATCCTAATAATTGGAAACAGGGTCTCAAAAAGATACTTGTACACCCATGTCCATAGGAGCAGCATTATTTATTAATCTACAAAATGTGGAAGCAACTCAAATATCTATTGACAAAAAAACAAAGAAACAAAAAACCAAACACTGGAATATTAGTTAGCCTTAAAAAATAAAAGACATTCTGACACTTTTTACAAGGTGCATGCATCTTGAGGATGTTGTGATAAATGAAATAAACCATCCATAAAATGACAAATATGGTACGATTCCACTCACAGAAGCTGCCTAGGATAGACAGATTTATAGCAACAGAAAGCAGAACATGGTTACCAGGAGCTGAGAGAAAGGGGGATGGGGTGTCCTTGTTTAATGATGACAGTTTCAATTTTGCAAGATCAAGAGTCCTAGAAATCAATTTGCATACAACCTTGTGAATTCATTTCATACCAGGGAACTGTACACCTGAAATAGCTTTAAATTTTATATCTATCTTAGAACAATTAAAATAAAGACTTTATTATGTGGTATGGCTTTGGAGGTAGCAGTTATCCAGGTCATTTCCAAAAGATGGAGAGTGACAACACTGTTACAATCTCTTGAGCACCGATGACACATTAGGAACTGCACACAGGTCTCACTTAACTGTCACCCAACATCACAGGAGAGGCTTTATTGCTCCTTTGTTTCAGATGGAGAAACTGAGGTTCAGACAGGATAAATGTCATTTCCATCATCACCATGTTAGTCAGTTTTATGCTATTATAATAAATACCTTATATATATGTAGATCTTTCTATATTTCTCTATATATTTCTCTACCTATCTTCTCTCTCTCTCTCTCTCTCTCTCTCTTTCTCTCTCTCTCTCTCTCTCTCTCTCTCTCTCTCTCTCTCTCTCTCTCTCTGTCCTTGGCTCACAGTTTCAGCGGTTCCAGTCACCCATGGCTGATGGAGTGGCCTCTTTCCCTCAGGCCCACAGCAAGGCACCACTGTCCAACAGGACCAAGTAATGGAGCTGGTCTGTTCTCCTAGGGCCAGAAAGTGAAGCAGAGGAAGAACAGTGGGCCATCCTCTCACAGCCCCCTTCAAGGACATATCCTAAATAACCCAAAGACCTGGCATTAGCTCCTCCCCCTCAATGTTCTAGTACCTCCTTGTAGTGCCAGCCTGGGGGCCAAGGCTTGAACACATGGGCCTGGGGGGTGGCATTAAAGATCCAAACTCTAGCAGTCACATAGGTAGGAAGAGGCTGAGGGTCTGAACCCAGACTCCCAGGCTCTGAGGAATGCCACCGCCTCCTCCTGTGGTTTCCATTCACTAATCCTCATACTGTGGGCATTTTTTTTTAACAGATAAGGAAAATGAGGCTTAGAGAAGTTATATAAATGTCAACTCCAATAGGACGCAGATCCAAGACACAGACTGAGGTTTGTCTGATCTAAAACTTCATTCTTGTCCACTCCATGCGATACAATTTTCTTTTTTAAATCTCAAACGAAATCTATATCTTGTTCAGTGACCCCCATCATGATGATTTTCCCCTTTTGATGGTACAGGAGATAATGCTGGCAAGATTCTTAGTGTGTGAAGGTCCTATTCCAGGATCTTCACATGGATCAACTACTATAATCCTCATAACAAACTCAAAAGATAGATTCCATTGCTGTCCCCATTGTAGAGATGAGGATTCTCTGTGGTGCACACAGAGATGATGTGAACTTCACCATGGGCACAGGCTCGTGCCTGAAAGAGGCAAGAATGCAAAGCCAGGCGGGTGGGTTCCAAAAAGGTCATGCTCTGCAGACACAGAGCTACTAATACCTATGTTATTAAAATCCACCCGAGGGTGTGGTAGAACATCTGCACTGACCAACTTGGATTAAATAAACTACTTGGAGATAGAATGGGAAAATATTCAAGAAGACACTGTGCTTTAGAAACTAAAAAGCCTACCTACTGCTGTTTATTTAGCTGAATGTGTTCTCAGCCATTTCCATGGCACATATTTGTATTTCCTTTAAAGAGCTCTTAAATCCTCAGGCTGCCATTTGCCTAGCAGCCATTTGAGTCTCTCATGGTACAATGCTGCATGATGCAATCTGCTACTGTATTTCAGGACAGCTCGGAGGGGTTAGCATCCTCTGACTTCAAATGGGGTTGTTCCCTGTGCCACAGTCACCATCAATGAAATGGGTGCATCAATATGCCACCTGTTAATAAGGTAAAGTGAGGCACAATATTTGAGTTATTTGAGAAAACCGTGACTCAGCTTCAAACTGAAAATGGGATGGGCTTGTTTCGTTTCTTCATGGCAGGAAGGCTTTTGTAGCATGAATAGGATATAAAGGAAATATCTGATTAGTTATGGTTATAGAATTATTGTAAATGGTCCATCCCATTGGAAAGTCCCTAGGTTTTGTTTTGTTTTGTTTTGTTTTGATGCCCACTGATTGGCTGAACGTAAGTCCTCTTTTTCTTTTATACAGACATTTACATGGAACACTCAAGTTGTTTTGCTTCTATTTTCAAACAAGTAAGGTGGAGGTCACTTAGAGGCTTAACACCTGGCTTAGTGTGCTCAGGAATTCTTCAGGCCTGGTATCTCTATTTTAATTTACTTTAACAAGCCTTGTGGGGTCAGACTGGCTACCTCCAGAATTGGAGTGAAGGACACAGGAGAAGGAGGTGGTTGGGGAACTTCTAAATCCTGGAAGCATTTTGACAATGAGCCGGCTCTCAGTGGGGACTCATCTGGGGTGCTCAACTGGGATGTTTTGATTGGGTAGCCACAGGGGAAGCAGAGCCCTCTGTGACCATCATGTTCATGGCTACCCTTTGGTTTAATGCATGCAACTCTCTACATGGTAATTTTTATAGTTAGGCAACAATTGTTCTAAATTAAAGGAATTAACAAAAGAAAAGTGTATAGACAGATCCTTGGGTATTCTAACACTGCCTTTAGGATCCATGAGCTCCCTGGCTTGGATGACGGTAAATGGAGATTTCTGGTATTCTTGTTTGCTGAAGGGTCAATTTTGCAAAACGCCCAGCACATATAACCTTAAGATATGTCACTGGATATATGTGTGGTTGTGTGTTAGCCATGCGTGAGTGTACTGCATGTGTGTGGTCGGAAGGAGGGTGTGGGCTTAGGTTGTAAAGTCAGCACAATGAATTCAGGACTGTATTCTCACTCCACTTAGATAAACCCACCAAGGGTTTCAGGAAAGGGGTTCAGTGAAGGTCAGACAAATACAGTTCAGAAAACTAGTCTTAAAAGTAACATGGTTCCCGATTTGGTTTTGTCAGGGTGAGAGGCACTTGATATACAATGGGCAACAGCCCCAGGAGGGCAGTGGAAATCTCTGTTATGCCACTTACTAGTCAGGTTACTGAGAACCATTTGCTTCATGTGGGTGAAATAAGAAACATTTTAGAGTCAAACTGCCTCGTAGGATGATTGGGAGGATTCAAATGAAGGGAAATATGAGAAAGGTACTTAGAATGGTGCCTGAAACATGCTGAATTATGAAAAAACTTCAACTCAAGAACTTTAACATCTTACTTTGTCTCATTCTCTACAAGTGGCCCAACATGTCTTCTGAACCTTACCCAAAGTTGTTCCTCTGGTCTTTTGATTCTACCCTTTTGCTGCTTCTGTGTCTCCCAAAGCCAAAAGAACCATTGGAAAGGTACAAATTGCCAGGAAGACATACATACATAATACGCATAAAATATGTTTGTATGCATCCAGGTATGATTTATGCTGAGCTGGGATCCAACCCACAGCCTCATGCATGCTTGGCAAGTGCTCAACCATAGAGCCACATCCCCAGCCCCTTACCTTTGCTATTGTTCAAAGCAACTTGTTTTAAATAGCAGTTCAGAAGACGAACTTCAGATCAACTCTTCTAAATTAGGAAAGACAAAAATGACATAAAAGTGAAGTGCAATGTATCAACTTTGTATCATGGATTAAAAAAATAGATATATAGACATGAAGAACATAAAAAAGAGGATAGGAACTTCAGGATCAAAGCTCTGTGGATATGCTTCCTTGCATTGCTGGGAACATAGCAAGTTGTCAAGTGACAGAATCTCAGTTTCCTTTTCTGTAAATTACAGTGAGTGATACTGATCTCACTGAGCCCTTGAGAGACTTACAACTGTTAATTCGATTCTGTGCTGGGTCTAGAAGGCTCAGTGACTGGGAGGTTATCGTTACTGTGTTGCACTGGCTCTACCAAAAGAAAAGGGAAGGGGAAGGGGAATAGGAAAGATGATAGACTGAATCTGACATTACTCTCCTATACGATTACATGACCAATGTAATTCTACATCATGTACAACCAGAAAAATGAGAAGCTATTCTTCCTATATGTCTAATATGTCAAAATACATTCTACTATCATATCTAACTAATAAGAACAAATGAAAAAATGGGGGTGGGCAGGATGGGAGGAGAACAGAAGGTGGAGGCCCCTAGTCTCTATCCTGGGCTGCTAAGAAAGTTGCTTTCAGCTTTGCTCAACCACTAGGACTTTAATCTTTGGCCTACTGTCCCTTACTGCTTCACCTAGAGTCAAGAAATTCTGTCTCCTTGCTGAGACTCCGCACTTCCCAGAAGCTGCCTAAGACAGAAAGACAAAGCCAAGTTTACCAAGTTGCTATTCTAAGCATACAAGAAGAGCCATTCTTGAGCACAGGACAGGGAGTGAGGTGGGGGCTCAAAAGTTTGGTGGAGGGAGGTACAGGTCCCCAGGCTCCAAGCAGCAGGCTCAGGCTGTCTTCCAGGTCTAATTGCAGCACATTCCTGAGATCTGTCGTCACCACGTCATGATGCAAAGCTGCAGCATTGTGGGTGGAGAGGAGTCAGAATATCTATGAAAGACACACAAAAAAACATATGCTGACCCCTTCAAACTTATGACCATATTTTAAGCGGAGCCAAACTAAATGAAATCAAGGTCTCTGTCCAGCCTTTGAGAGCCAGTGAAAATACGAATTCAGTGTTTCTCTAAATACACAGAGTATATTACCTTAGTCATAAAATTGGGGACTTTCAAATCTAATTTGTTCAGCCCTGGTGCTGTTGAAGGCTGGGCAGGGTTCCAAAGGAAATCACCTCCACACTAACAGAGATTAGCAGCTCTCCACTGGAGACATATGGGAATGATTCCCTATAATCTCCAGTAATTGTGGCTGCATTACATTCAAATCCTGTTTTCAATTTTCTTAAACTTCTAGACTGATTGTGTTATTAAATCATGCTGGCTGATGTGTTTAATAAGGACCTATTAAATGTTTATAAAATTAGGGAAATAAATATGGGCTTTTAGTCAGATTGCCCAATGGATCTGGTAACCTATTGTTAAAATAACAGCTCTGCTGTTAAAACTGCTTCTCCTGAGTACATAGGTTGGTACTCCCTTTAAAACACTGTCCCAAATGCATGTGGAGCTGTTTATTCTAACACTCCATTTGCTGAAGAATTTGCACTCCCCCCCCACCAAAAAAAAAAAAAAAACTCAACAAAGAAAGAAATACATTCAAAGGAGACTAACCGTAAGACTTCAGTGTCTTGGCTGACATGAAATGTCACCTCTGTTTCCAATGAAATAGTGAGAAGTGCAATTGCTAGAGAAGACCCAGAGAGACCAGGCTTGTTGCTGTTATTGCCGAAGCCTTCACTTGGCTTAATTTCAAACTGGAAATTGCAGTCAGTTCTCCAAGGCCTTCAACAGGAAGGTCTGATGGGCCTGTAGAGAGTGAAGAAAAACTTGGCCAAGATGTATACAGCAGGGAGACAGAGTGATATGATCCATTCTTCCAACGGCATGACTTACTCGGGAATTATTTATCTATTCAATCTTACAATCACGAGCAGATTGGGAAGCGTACAAGTTCCCCAGGTCACGGCTTTGGAAAGCAAAGACTAGAAATGTCTGTGGAAGGGACCAGATGTGGATGGCTAATGCCACCTTAAACAGAAGACTCAGAGCACCCCAAGAGCATGGACCACCAAGTCAGGAGATGTTGCGTAGCTTAGAATTGTACAGCCCCTTGACCTTCCCACCCGAGCTTCCTTTGCTCCTCTCTAAATGAAGATAAAACAGTGCTCACCTCCAGGGGTTATGAAGATTAAAGAGGATCGTAATGTGTGTCAACTATGTTGTCTGGCACCTTGGTACGAATTCCAAAGCGGTTACTGAAAAAAAGGAGTGAACAAGTAGAGGCCACAGTCCAAATCAGTGATCTCTTCTGAAGTGCTCAACAAAATTATGAAACCGAATGAATAATAAATATGCATGTAACATTAACTGTCTGACCATGCTCCTAAGTGTGGAATCCAACCCGGTACCACATGATCCTCATCCGAATCAATTCCCTAACACAGACACAAAACCATAAGTTCAGTCCTCCCTGCCAAAGCACGCTAGGCCACCTGGCCTTAAACCACAGTTTCCTACACCCTCGACCACAGCTCAAGTAATTCTGTTATCTTCAGGGCAAATATGCAAACCCCACTTTCTTGGACGAATTAACCTTTGAGTTTCCCCTAAGGAAGGGGAGGGCAATTAAACAATATTTCTGGCACTTAAAAAAAAAAAAAAGGCCAACAAACCGCATCATTATCTTGGAATAAACACAACCCCTTAAAATATTTCTTACAAGTGTACACTGGCTACCCCCACCTACCCACAGCCCCCACCCCCTGTTCCAGAATATTGTAAAGTGATGGAGAGCTGGCCTGGTTCACATTAGGGGCTCTGGAAGGTTGGAGGAGAACTGGATATACGGTTAATATTTGGCAGAACCTTGTAAATGACTTGATTGTTATTTTATATTGGCTACAACCTCCAAATCACTGCTTTTTGCCAACAAGGCCCTACGTCTGGCCAGGTAGTTACACACAGCCGTGTCACAAGCCTGCTATGGGGAAGACACACGTACATTGTGTGTCTGTGTGTGTGTTTTCTGTGAGCGTGTGCATAGGTCCCCATTTATGCCCAGCGAAACGCAGCAGAAACCGAGCACAGCAATTATTTTTACCGATTTTTTTTCTTTATTTTCTTTTTTTGGCCTGCCCTCAGGGGACCTTCTCCCAGTTTAATTGTCTGGGGGGATTGTTTCCTTGTGGGATTTTCTTTCAAAACATACCTGTTAAAATTTCTTTCAGAGCAAGAAGGAAAAAGAGGATGGAATTTTTTTAAAAAAAAAATCTCCTTAAACACACAAACCCACAATCACATAAAAATTCACCAAACTGTGTATCCTGAAATTAATAGAGGTGTTTCATGATGCATAGATTTTTAAATTATTTGTGTAAAGATATGTTTAGAATTGATTATATTAAAGGTGTATAAATCTTGGGTTCCCTTCCTCCACTCCTGGGCCTTGGAAATGAATTCAAGCAAACCAACTGAATTTTAAGTTAAGACAAACAGGGGAAGAGATCATTTGTCTCCAGTTATACATGAAATGGCTTATAATAGCGGATGCTGAGTTCATGAAGTATATGTTCGACCCCCTTTGATATAAATTCCATCATCAGCTTACAAAGAAATGGTATTTATGCATAAGACAGTGCTCCCTAACATGAACTCCTATAAATTATGAGAACGGAAAATCCAAATTTATAAGATGCCATTTCTGGATTTATTTTTAATGCTCTCTCCTGCATATTACCAAACAAATGCCACATTAGCAGAGCGTGAAAGGCTTTTTACTGGCATAAGCTATGGCCATGAAATTCACAGCACAGACCAGCCTGGGGTTTAGACACAATGGAGAAGGAGAGAGAACGTGAGGAGGAGCCAGGGCCGGGTGCCTGGGGGTCTTGGGGCCTGCTGTTTCCCTTCATGTGGGAAAGAAAGGAAGGCACATTTTTTGATCCATTAGTTATATTAAACACAGGTGATTATTTGTGTTTCCACTTTCCAACTTCACACAGTAGAATGACTCAATTATCTTCTCCATCTCTTGCTAATTTCTTCAACAATTCAGCTCTTTCTTCATTGTTTTTCCCATCAAATACTTATAGACTGCTTAACATGTGTCAGCCATTCAGATGAGGAGCTGGGGACACAGAACCTATCAAAATGCAATACAAGGAGCTGACGGATGCTCTGTCTGCCTAAGGTATAGGTGAAGAAATAACAATAACATTAGTAACATAAGCTAACACTTATAGACTATTTTCCTTCATCCTGGGCACTATTCTAGGTTTTCACATCAACTCATTTACTCTTCTTAGATCCCTATGAGGTAAGATACTCCTTGTTTATTTTAACCTTTAGAAAACTGGAGTTACAGATACACTTGAACAACCTGTAAGCAGCAGAGTTCACAGTTGACATGTTCCAATGTGTTGAATCTATGGCTTCAAGGCCAGTGGACCGAACCGCCATGCTGAAGGGAGTAGGTGCCCTTTAGTCCATCAGTCATCAGTCTCTCTGCTCAGCCTCTTTTGACTCTGTGATCTTGGGCAAATGAGTTAACTACTCAATGCTTTTCTTATATCATCTATAAAATGGGAATATTAATTAATCAGATCACAGCAACAAAATGAAAGGAGTTGAGCCTCTTTATGTGATGCGTTTAGTCTCCTCTCTCTCTCTCTCTCTCTTTCCTTCTCTCTCTCTCTCTCTTTCCTTTCTCTCTCCTCTTCCCCTTCTCTCTCTCATTACATACAACCAATGTACTAAGGCATCAGAATGTGATTCTCTTATAGAAACTTGACCAGCTTAACAAACACAGATTTCACCCAGTAGAGATAACCAGAAGGTCTTAGGTCATGAAGGTTGGCCATTAATGGCCCCAAACAAACCACAAGAATGTTCTTGTAAAAACATCACTTCTTCCCTTAGTACTTCAAGATAAATTTGAATATTGGGAGTACTGGATTCATTGGAGCTCTCTAAGGCTTTGTCCTATACCCCAGCTCTGCACATCTAGATCAGATTCCCGCCCCACCCCCAATTGTTAGTCTCTTTGAGATCTTCAAACTTTGGGGGGGGGTGTCTTTCTTCTTTTTTAAAAACTCAGGGGCCATTTGGGTATGAAATACCCAAATGAACAGAAATTACTCAGTTATAGTTCATTTTGTCACAGTACAGTCTCTGCCTTTTAGTATCTTATCTTCTTGTTAGCAAGCAATAGAGAGTAAAGTGAGCCACCTCATACAGAAAAAGGACAGGGTGTCAAACATCAGTGGGAACCAAACTCAGCAACTGTTAGCCTGGAAAAGACCCAACCAGTCCCAGAATGGCGTGACAGGAGAATGTTTCCTTTGGTAATGGGACACTGGATACTGGACTTTGTTTCTCTCTAGATCAGGCTATCTCCAGGACCATTTCTCTTCCCTGCAAACTCTATCTTGCTGCACCCACTATCACTGCAAAAGAACTCTCCACAAAGGGCTCTGCCTATCCGCAGCTCTATCTTTAAGGGCTCTGCCTATCCGCAGCTCTATCTTTGGATATAGAGCTAGGAACAAATACCCATGACTAGTCCAGCCTAGGTCCTTGCTTCCGCTGATGGGGTAGGTATTGAGGCAAGTTTGGGGCATTCCGATCTGTAAAGGAGTTGCCTTGGTCAACTGGACTGTCATATCAGAGCACCTTAGTCTGGTGATTTAAACAACAGGCATATTTCTCAGTGTTCTGGAAGCTGGAAGTTCAAGATCAAGGAGCTGTGGCCCATTTAGTTCCTAGCAAAGGCCCTCTTCCTACCTTGGAAATGCCAGAAAGAGAGAGAGAGAGAGAGAGAGAGAGAGAGAGAGAGAGAGAGAGAATGAATGCTTATATTCTGGGCTCTCTTTCTCATCTCATGAATACCCCATACCCCAGTCCCCTTCTGGAGGCCTCACCTGCATGGCCTCATCTAAACCTAATCACCCCAAAAGCCCTATCTACAAATACCATCATATTGGGCTCCAGAGCTTTGACATGAATTTTGAGAAAGACACAAACATTCAGTCCATAGGAGAGGAGGATTCTGCTGGCCTTCAGGTCTCATAAAATAAAAGATTCAAAACACAACAGAAAAAGCATCCAGTATCACCAGCCAGAAATAATGGCAAAAGTATCTTTCTAGTTAGACTGGTGATTCTCTGGGGATGATTCTGCTCACCCCCACTCAGGCATGTCTATGACATCTGAAGATGTGTTTGGTTTTCTGAACCGGAAGATCTGTTACCTGTATCTAGTGAGTAGAGGACAGGGATGCTGTTCAACCTCTGACAGGGCACTCTAGTGGGGACAGCTCCCCCCTCAAAAAAAAAAAAAAACCAACAAGGATTAAATGTCCCCCTCTGCTCTTGGTGCCAACGTGGAGAGACCCTTAGACTGAAACCTCCCTGTGAGTCAGAACCCTCTCTGCTTTATATACTCAGCTTTATATCCTGAC